CGATTTTCTCTTCTCTTCTCATCTCTCTCTCTAACCTATAAATACGAACCGTTTTTCTTAGTGGAAGACATTCGGTAGTTATCCTTTTTTGTGTTGAATAAACATATGGTCATTATCATCTCACAATCTCAAGATTCTGACGTACAAAGTTGAAAGCGGGCAAAAGGTTACTCCTAAGTCGATCGCGATAAACTCGGACTTCGCGATTGGTTACATGTCGATCACTCGTTCGGTTATTTAAGCCGAATAACACGTTGAGTGGTAATCGAGGCTCGCGACCGAACATCAGAAAGCCGGAGATTCTCCAGTACTGTCATTTATCGCTGTTCTCATAGCGAAAGCTAACTGCGGAAGTTTTATATCCCAATTATTCCGATCTTTATCTGCGTACCCCGCTATCATCGTTTTTAACGTATTATTAATCCGCTCTGATAGATTTCGTTTGCGGATGATAGAGAGCCGTTCGGCGGTGTTCTATTTGAAGAAGACGTAAGGTTTCTTCAAATATTTCTGAAACAAATTGTGATCCATTATCTGAGATGATCTTAACTGGGCATCCAAAACGGCGAATAACTTCATCATGGAGTATTTGTGCGATACTGATTGAACGCGTATTTGGCGATGGAAATAATTCCACCCATTTTGTGAAATAGTCTACGACTACTAAAATGTATTCATTACCTCTTTTTGTTCGAGGTAATGGACCAGTGATATCTATGCCAATAGTATACCACGGCTCATGCACTACGTTCGAGATCATCTTTCCAGCGAGCTTTTGAGTTGTAGCTTTACAACGCTGGCATGTATCACAACTATGAATATAGTTTTCTACATCCTTTCGCATTCCCTGCCAATGAAAGCGGGAATACAACCGATGTAGAGTTTTTCTCTTACCGAAATGCCCTGAAACTGCGTGATCATGTGCGAAGTACAATAAATTCTGAATTTTTGATTTTGGAATGACTAGTAAATGCTGGTTATAATTAAATCGATCTGAATGTTTCTCATCAAATCGTCGTAGACCATAGAGTCTACCATCAATTAATTTATAATACTTCGCGATTCCACGCATTCTCTTTGAAATATTTTCATCTGATGGTAATATTCCATCATGCAAATAATCAATTAGAGGTTGGAGTTCTCTATCCGTCCGCTGCGCTTGTTTTATATCATCAAGGACATTACAGCTATTCCAAACATTTATATCTACCTCTTGTTCTGTGGAACCATTTTTATTTAGTTCGTGTTTAGCGTTCGTATTTTCCATCTGAAGCGGTGAGACGACTTCTGTTGGATATCTAGATAAAGCATCCGCGTTTTGATTTGCCGCTCCTGAGCGATGCTTTACTATCATATCAAACGCGTCTAATTTCATACCCCAGCGTCGACTAGTTGGATCCTTTAACCTTCTGAGCCATGTTAGAGATCGATGGTCCGTCCAGACTTCAAACGACCTTCCTTCCAAATATGGACGAAAGTGTTGAGTCCCCCAAACAATTGCCAAACACTCACGTTCCGTAGCGGAATATTTACGTTCCGATTCGTTTAACGTGCGGCTAGCGTAAGCAATTACATGTTCCTCTCCATCGGGTGAACCTTTCTGAGCTAACACGGCTCCTAATCCATAATCGGACGCATCCAGTTGTAATATAAATGGATGATTGAAGTCTGAATACGAGATTATCGGACTAGTTATGAGGTTTTGTTTTAACTCATCGAAAGAATCCTGGCATTCTGGTATCCAGACGAAAACGGGTGAACGCTTAACACGAATTAATTGCAACAGAGGCTCAGCTATAGTGGCATAGTTTTGGATAAACCGACGATAATAACCGGTTAATCCAAGAAATGAGCGGACACCTTTAGCTTTGTACGGAACAGGAAAATCACGCACAGCTTTTAGTTTTTCTGGATCAGGCCTTATACCCTGGGCACTAACTATGTGTCCTAAATATTTGAGCTCTCTGTGGCAAAAATGACACTTAGATGCTTTAAGAGTTAGATTGCTTTGACGCAATCGTCCTAAAACATCGTTTATGTCTTTGAGATGTTGATCAAAAGTAGAAGAGAAGATGATGACATCATCTAGGTATACTAAGCAACAGCGCCATTTTAAGCCGGACAAAATAACGTCCATAAGGCGTTGAAATGTAGCCGGTGCATTAGTTAAACCAAACGGCATCACGGTGAATTGAACTAAGCCATCATGTGTCACGAATGCCGTTTTTTCTTTACTTTCCTCATCGAGCTCTACTTGCCAAAAACCTGAACGTAAATCTAATGTACTAAAATATTTGGCATCATACAGAGCATCGAGAGTATCATCTATCCTAGGTAAGGGGTAAACATCTCGAACGGTGACCTCGTTCAACCGACGGTAGTCAATACAGAAGCGCATGGTTCCGTCTCTTTTCGGCTGTAATGTCACCGGAGCTACCCAAGGTCCAGTAGCAGGTTCAATGATATTTTGTTCTTTCATATGAACTAGCTCTTGAGTGATATAATCTCTTTTTGGAGGCAAAATCCGATAAGGAGGCAGCTTTATAGGGCGAGCGTCTCCAACATCTATATGATGCTTCGTAATATTTGTACGGCCGGGTTTTGACGCAAATAGATCGGAGTATTTGAGTATTAATTCCCTCAGAAGTTTTTCTTCTTCTGGGTTTAATTTAGCACTGGAGAGATCTAAGCCCTTCAAAAGTTGGATCTCGCAGTCTTTGCTTAGCGGTGTTTGAGCCGATAAAAGAGAAGGGACACTTTTATGAACCTTAGCAAAATCCTTAACACCGAAAACATACGTGTCTTGCTCATCTTCATTATCAGAGTCGTTTTCATTTTCATTTTCATCTTCACCTACGCGTCTTTCTTCTTTCAGTTCGTATTTTCTTTTATATGTGTCAATGTTTGTCCCTACATTAATTGATCCTTCTTTATTTATGACTGGCATGGGCGGTTTCAGTATTAATTTTTGAGATGTTTATTGCGCATGCATGTTTGTTGTTGAATTTGCACAACTTTGATTAATATAATCATTAATTTTGTTAGCTGGTTGATGCTGTTGCGGGTTGAGAATTCCTGTTGAAGGTGTTGTCCATTGTTCATACCATGGATCGAGGTTAGCTACTCTTTGTCCCTTGTAGATTATTTGTCGAATAGGTGTCAAATTTGCTATTTTTAATGATGTTGAATTATTGTGAACAACGACTGAACAGTTAGCAACGGATAAACGGCTGGGAGCTGGTATAGTGGTAGCTTCCCGTGAGTCCGAGCTAAACCGTAGTGGTGGACGGACGGATATATATGTTTCATGATACGGTGGAAGAATTCGTTTCTCTGTGGCATAAACCGGAACATCCAAATGACCAGCTTGATAAAGATCCGTATTTAATAGATATTTGTCGACTGGCTTTGATTTTCGCCATAATCTTCCACCGCGAATATCTAATATAATTCCTGCTTTGTAGAGAAAATCTGTACCCAACAATATTAGTTGATTGAATTTTTGTGCTAGGATACAAGGATGGCGTGTTATTTGACCAGCAACTGTGATATCTATATCAATCCAGCCTGCTGGTTGTATAGAACTTCCTTCTGGACCAACGATATCTGACCCAGAATACGGATGAATATCTTTTGAATCGCCACCGATGATTATCCAATGTTGATAATTCATTATCGTTACTCCTGCACCTGTATCAATCGTTAAAATTCCATTAATATCGTTAATTCTTCCTTTTGTTGTAGCGCAGCCTCTAGTAATTTTATAGCTGGCACTGGAATCAGTAGGCGTTAGATGCATGCCCATTAACTGATTCACTAAAACAGGATTAGATAATTTCTTTTTAGCAGGTTTAATGTTAGACGTTCTTGTTTTTCTTTCGTTCATTTTCCTGAAATTAGTCTCGCCATTAGTTTTTAGAGAATGGTCACATACTTTTCTTGTTATACATAGTGGATCACCATCTTCAGCGATATCTTGTTGTACACCCTCCTCTTCAGACATGGTATCCTCATTAGAGTCACTGGATGTTGTCGTATGACTTTCGTTTTCTTCAATTATTGTTGATAATTGTTGCCGATTTTTGAGACGGCGGTCAAAAAATTTTGGCGAACAGGATTCGATTGACGATCTACATCTAATAGAGATTGTTGTTTCTTCTTTGTTAATGCCTCTCCATTACGGCCGGCAGCACCAAAGATTCGTAACGATTCTATCGCAGAACGTTTTCCACCATCATCGTGCTGAACAACTTTGACGATTTGTTGAGATGTGTTGCTGTCGATTAGTTCTACATTATTTATTGTCGCCGTAATCACCGTTGAGGATTCTTTTAAATCGGAAGCAGGTTTATCCTCATTCGACCTCTTCCTTATTAGTTTAAATATTGTGGATTTGGTGGTGATGATAGCTGCTGTCGTGTGTATCCTTGTGGCGGATATGGATTTAGCTGTCGTTGTGATTGTTTCTTAATTCGACAAATTTCTTCAATATGTCCTTGTCGACCACAATAGCCACATATTTGTTTCTGATAACAACTAGTAGTAGCATGTCCTTTTCGTTTGCATTGTTGACAGATAGGAGCTGTTGGGCAATCTTTGCTATAGTGATTTTGTTCTTTACAATACCAACAACGGATATTCGTTTGTTGATTTAATTCTTGTGACCGCCCAAAATTATTTGGTAATTTTGATTTCTAAATGTTACGATCGTCATGTTCGCGTCTCCACCATCCTTGATCTCTTTTATTCATATTTGAATTATTATTATTATTATTGCTGTTGTTTAATGAATTACTTTGTGATGATGTTTGAATCGATTCAATTACGGCTACTGTTGTAGGATCTGGACGAATGAATTTCTTTTTTGTTGTAATTATTTCTTGTTGTCCTGGATCTCGTACAGATGTGATGACTGTTGAAGATTCAAACATTCCTTCTTGTTGAGCGTCCTTCCTTTGGTGTAGTAGAAGCAATTCCACCTTTTCCGCACGTTTCATCATTCGTGGAATGGACAATTCATCAGCTTCTACACCCATCAATGTAATCACTTCAGAACGGAGCTTTCTAAATAGATGTTTTCTGAGCTGTAATTCCGAAATTCTGGGATCGATTTCTAATGCCAAGCCCTTGTATCGTTGATAGAAATCGGCGACAGATTCATTGGGTCCTTGCCTACACTGATTTCGTTGAATTTTAAGGGCTTCTTTTCGTTCTGGTGATGAAAATCGTGCTAACAACTTGGCGAATGCATTCCATGATTTTGGAAGTTCGTTGCTTTGAATTAACTGTTGATACCACTCCGCTGCAGCGTCCGTTAGCCAATGACTAATACTATTCAATATAGTTTCATTATCCCAGCCGTAAGCAGATTTCGCTTTTTGCTGATATTCAAGAATGAATCTTCTTAGTGCCTCTTTTGTTGTGCCAGCAAACTTTTTAATATTATCTGATATTGACATCGTTAAGTTCACTCTTGGTGTTTTAGGTGAACGGCGTTCAATTATTGTTATCAAATGGTCACTGCTAGAACTTGTTGATGATGATGAACGTCTGTGAATTTTTCTTGCTGATTTGTTCAGTTTGCTTTTCGCTTTCTTGTCAATATCGGCACTACGGTTGATTTCATTCCAAATACTAGACGAACATTCATCAATGGTTTGTGTATATGAATGCTGACTGCTTGCTGATGACGGAGAATGTTTTAGAGATACATTCTCTTCTTTTAATCGAGCAGTTTTTGTATTTTGTTGTTTTTATTCATTAAATTTTCTTGTTTTAGTTGTTTTAATTCTTCTTGTAATTGATGAATTTTCGTGGCTAATAGGGATGTATGTGACATCATTGGTAACGGTGTGAGCGATGGTTCTGCTAGTGGTGACACATCTTTTGTTGATTTCGAATATGAATTTGTTGAAATCTGATGTTGTGAGAACGAAACATGTGACGATACATGATACGGATATATCGAAGCAGACGGTGAATTTATTGATGCAGACGAAATCAGTTGTTGTGTGATCACCGTCAATGCTTGTAGTGGATTAAATGGCTGTGGTAGAGAATCAATAACGACAGCTTCTGGTTGCTTAGTAGAACTCATTGTAGCTGCTTGTGATTGTGTATATCTGTCCGAAGCTGATATTGCAACATCGGATTTTGACCAAGCTTCAGGTTGACTAATCACTGAATTGCTACGAATTGGTTTGTGTTGTGGAATATTATTGACGATTCCACGAATATCCATCTCCGCCATACAGATTTTCGAAGTAACCTTTTTAGAGTTAGTTGACTCCGACATGCTATGAGATTTTAGAGAGTTTGTCAAGCACGGACAACAATAATTCAACGTTTTGTTTGACAATAAATATTGTACAACTGATGGATAAGGATGAATGTCGATAACGGATGAGGGCTAGCACCTAATGGATACGGATGAGCATCACTAATGGTTAAGAATGAATTGTATCGGTGTTGTTGTATGTTATTATAAACGGACTCTTTGTTTTGATCAGATTATATCAGCGAATAGTGATAAATCCAATTCGGTGATGATATTGAAGATGAACTTGTTATTTGTTGTAGAAGTACCGAAGCAGGATACAAATGTATTTTCCCGGGTCAACGAGCACCAATTTGTGAGCGTCGTTTAAGAGACGTCCCAACTTCTGCAACGGTTTGACTAACTTCTACGAGTCAACTTAAGTATATTTAAGTTAACTTTATTTTATTTTATTTTCGGTTTAAGATTTTCTTCTCTTTTTCTTTATTAAAAAAAGGAAAACTTAAAAAGTAGATGTTAACTTAAAATAAGATTTTATATTATTAGTTAATGTTCTCTATCGGCCTACGTCTGAATCAACTCTTCATATCAAAAGCTGAAGTTTTTATTAAAATTTTAAAAATAGGGCAGAAAACCCGAAAAAAGCTTCAAAATTTTTTTATCAAAAACTACCAATACGGTAACTGAAAGTTTGGTTAAGACGTATACTTCGCAAATACCTGTGATAGGTTTGCAAAATTGGTTGCAGTCTTTGAGCCATGGACACCGCGATTTTTTTTTGAATAGGCGTTTGGTTCTAAAAATGTTTTGAGACTCTTTTCTAATTCAGTTTTCGACGCTGAATTAGAAAAATTACGTTTCAATATTCCATCTTGTAACATTACTAGGGAGCGTCGTTTAAGAGACGTCCCAACTTCTGCAACGGTTTGACTAACTTCTACGAGTCAACTTAAGTATATTTAAGTTAACTTTATTTTATTTTATTTTCGGTTTAAGATTTTCTTCTCTTTTTCTTTATTAAAAAAAGGAAAACTTAAAAAGTAGATGTTAACTTAAAATAAGATTTTAAAATTATTAACAAATTTCGAAAGAAAAGGTTACGAGTCAATTTTTGTAGCCTAGAAACAATATATTATATTCAATTCACGAACATTGTCAATAATATTAATTACTGGTAAGAAATTAATACAATTGACATTGTCGTGTGGACGAATTTCTTTCTTTCGTATTTCCAGCACGTGTATTTTTAAAATACGAAAGTTGGAGGTGATGTAATTTGAAAAACTGATTTCATCAACAACTGTGGTGTACAATTTAAACAGTTGTAAAATACGCGGAGAAAACTAACCGCTGCGGTTTTACATGTTGTTATCTGCTACCCTCTTTTTACTAGTTATAACTCCGAGCCTAACAGCTGTAGTTCGAAGATTATACAAAAAGAATAGTAACGGGTTTCGAGACCGTTACAAGGGGTCCCCATTTAGTTTTTCCTCTAGCGTTCCCAGTTCGTAGAGGATACTTCGAAGTATATGTCCTGAAGTTTTTTCGGCTTGCTAACATTATTTGGCTGAGAAAAACATTAATTACTTAAAAAAATATTTCTAAATTTTTGAGCACGGGGCTATTATTAGGTATGCACCGGTATCGGTATTCATACCGAAATATCGATACCGAACATACCGACTTGGTTGACTTGGAAGTTTATTTAGTATCTGCTGGTCTCACCGACTGAACATCGTCCCCAACTTTTGACAAATTTTCAGTATCTATTTTTGAAAAAAGAAAAGGATTTTGGATTTTTTCATTTGGAATGAGATATTTTACCATCCTGGACAGGCAGAACGCATAAAAAACATTCAGCTGTGTATTCTGAGCATGTGAAGATAGAAAAAAAAGAAAACTTTGGCTTTAGAAAGCGAATAAAGCTCTTGTTTTGCTTTCCTGACGATCTCTCAGTGTCCAGGACGCTAAAGTATCTCATTCCAATGAAAAGATCCAAAAAATTTCAAGTAAAAAAAAGTTGGTATTTTCGGTATTCGGTATACCGATACCGGTGCATACCTAGCTATTATTACAAAATATCTTGTCCATTCTCCATTCATCACAAAATCTTGGTTCTTGTCTAGATGGATAGAGAAATGTGTGGAGAATATTTACTACGAGAAAATATGTAAAAGATTTTCTTCTTTCCTTCCTGTTATCGACTAATTAGTACTAATTAACGTTAATTTAACGTACTCTACTAGGTTAAAGTCCTATTTGTACAGTAACGATTCAACAAAAAAATTCACGCAATATCGCATCTGATAGAGAATTCCACGGACTACAAGATATGCTACCATAAAAGTTTTAGAATTCATTTTTGGCTGCTGAGTAGATCTGGGTTCTGTTTGGGTTCTCAACATTTTTTTAAGTAATTAATATTTTTCTCAACCAGATGATGTCAGTTAGCCGAAAAAGCTTCGGGACATATACTTCGAAGTATCCTCTACAGACTGGGAAGACCTGAAGAAAAAATGCAAAACTGAAAATATCGCTGATTTTTGGCTCAGCAAAGATTTTTTCACCCCACCTTACGGCTATTTTCGATCGAAGCAAGCATTTTGAAACAAAACTCTGGATACAAAAGTTGTTCAGAATCGAATTCCAGAGTCCCTCAAGGGAGTTTTTTTAAAATTTTCTTTGTTTGATTTTTAAATTGAAAAATACGAAATTTTAAAACTTTAAAAACCATAAAATTTAATTTAAAACCAAAAAAAGACAATTTCAAAAAGACCTCTCGTGAGGGACTGCAGAATTTGATTCTGAACAACTTTTGTACCTAAAGTTTTGCTTCGAAATGCTTGCTTCGAGCGAAACTAGCCCTAAGGCTTTTTTCAAGATACTTTTAGCTCTAAAATTTCCTCAGGAAGATGAAAGTTAAATTTCTCCGTCAAACTTCATTTGGGAACGATGTAAAGTTTTTCTTCTTATACAAGTTAATGTTCTCTATCGGCCTACGTCTGAATCAACTCTTCATATCAAAAGCTGAAGTTTTTATTAAAATTTTAAAAATAGGGCAGAAAACCCGAAAAAAGCTTCAAAATTTTTTTATCAAAAACTACCAATACGGTAACTGAAAGTTTGGTTAAGACGTATACTTCGAAGTGTCCTCTACAAACTGGTGAAAAAAACAGGTGGGGGAACCACCCTTAAGAAACTCAATGTCTTCTTGCGTCGATTAAATATAATAGGCCACTTTTAAATAAGGCACCTACATATTTCTGTGCTTCCTTCTGTTCACAATGAACCGGGCAGTTTCTAATGTTATATCTGTTCTAAGCATAGTTCAACAAAGCGGGCGAGTCCACTACATATTGCGAAGAATCGAAAAAGAAAAGTTGATTATCATACATACATACTAGGCCTCCACAGTGGGCAATTATAGCTAAACACGTGGACATCAGCTTTAGAAGTAGTGTAAAAGTGTCTAAACAGTTTTTCTATAGGTTTTCGACGATACTCTTTCCAGTGGAATGATTTTTGAGTTTTGGAACAGTTTTCTAGACGGTTTCCCAGAGATCCGATCTCCAGAAAACCACTCAGAAAACCTTGCAGAATTCAAACCATTGGCAAGAGCATCGTCGAAAACCTATAAAAAAGTGTTTAAATGCTTTGATCTTCTTTTTAATTAGAATTTTCATATAACAGGCAAAATATTTCATCTACGCAGGCTTCAGCCTGAGAAATCAATCGAATTTAAAAATATGCGCTCTACAATGGATAAGTTATATACCGTTCGACGCAGTTTTTGCTCTGATTCCGAATATGTTATTATTTTTTACAAAGAACTGCTTTGGAACAAGCAAAAATACCGAAAAACCTGCACACAACTAGGTTTTTTTTGGAAAATCTAGAAGCCCGGCTAGGTGTATTTGCGCTATTTTGCGCTAACTGTGTGGGTGCACTGGATGGAGGAGAACATTGTCTGAAAGTTTCATTTCATTGGGAGTTGGAAAAACTTGGGAAACTCATTCTACTGCGGTACGTTCTTCGGAAGACACTTAACAAATAAAGAAAATCATTTTTCTCGGTTCAAGCGAGTCCTATAAAGAAAATTTTTTACGGATAGATGGATTGAAAGGTCTACGTTCAAGCCATGTATGATTTTCCTAAACATCATATAATGCTCTGTATATTATAATAATCAAAATCAAATTATTGGAATGTCAATGACATCTGAAAATGAACAACAATTATGGAAGCTAAAACAACTAAACGATAATAATAATAATAATTTTATTTTGTCAACTAAAGTGAATAAAGACAATCAAGTATTAACATTCATTCCAAAAATTCCATATCGATTAAAATTAGCTCCTCTAGATGCACAGTCAACATATCAACAATGTATTTTTGTTTTAACAAATTATCCAAATGAACCAACATATCGTATAAAATCAAAATATTTAGAAACAATCGGTCAAGAATTCCACTTAGATTTATTAAATGATGAGACAGCTGAAAATTCATACAGAGTTACAATGAGACAACAAGGACATTATTCAGGACAATATTGGAAACTAATCAAAATAAACTAAAACGTTTTTGAAACCACATCGAATAAGTTCTACTCTATTTCCTTTTGCAGTCATTATTCAAGTTATGAAATCATACAGACCGGATTAGAAGTTTGAATGTGCGAAACCCTAATGAACCTTTTTTTACAGAAAAATGGTTGGAGCTTTAAGGTTTTTTGTGTGCACGTAAAGCAGAATTTCAGCACTTTTTATTCTTCAATAAAAGGCACATATTCCGATGTAGAATTTTGTGCTGATCACGAATATGTCCTCAAAAGTTAAAAAAACACTTTTCTTGAGTGAGAAAATCGCGAAATACTATGGACCTCCAGAAAACCTTAAAGACCTTTCACCTTCCGAAAAACCCTCGTAACTTTTTTTTGAAAACTCCGATCGACTCAAACTTTTTTTGTTGAATTCCTCGTTAAAAACTGAGTCACGACCGATTGCCTTCAGATTTATAAACGGTAGTCTGAAACTTCGGTAAAGCTACAAACAGGAAAACTTCAAATCGAGGCTTCCTTCACCAAAAACCTATGTAGTTTTTCTGGATAGAAGCAATCTCATTGAATTTTATGCCATTCGACAGCTCAATATACCAGCTATAAAAGTACGTATCGGTTTTAAGAAAAAAATGTTTTCGCTGAGAAATTGCGTTTTTGCCGAAAACGGAAAAACACCGCAGTGCGCTTACCCCTAATTCGCAATTTTCCCCATCAGAACTCAACTTTTACGCAATGAAAATATTATATTCGGAACCAGTGTCAAAAATCGAGTCGAATGATGTGCTTTTCTTATCCTATTCGATCACTTTTATTTTTTCTGAATTTTCACGTCGAATAATTACCAAGATTTTCATCAAAAATGAAAATCAAGGAAAAATTTTCAAATATG